TTCAGAATCCCAATAATATCCGGATAGAGATCCGTGGCCATATCTGCGGGGCAGGCATCAAATCAAAAGTACTTTGCAATTAGGGCGCGTTTGGATCGGAGGAAATTTCCCCCTAACTTTTTCCTTTCTTGAATTATTTAGAGTTAATTATGTACTTCTACACCATAATAATTCAAGAAAAAAAGGGAACAAGTCACATTCGAGGCTTTTATTTTTTTAACAAAATTTTTAATTCATAAATTTTTTTCTCACACTTATTAAAATTAAAAACTTTCTTCCCAAATTCATTTATATAATATTTCCTTAATAACTTTTCTATTAATTTTTTTATATTAATTTTTTATCAAATACAAAATTTTATTTATATTAAACTCACTTAAATAAAATTTTATTACAAATTTATTAATTTTCACACAATAGTTTTTAATTTTTTTTATATAATATTTTTCAATAAAAACATTTACAGTAAAATTATTATCTAATCAATCAAATAGGGCCTTAGCTAAACCTAGTAAAATTGGACCCAATCCAAAATCTAACTCAACCCATTTGTTATAGATTGGGTCATGGGTCCTATATATTAACCAAAAACCTAAAATGATTCGAACTGAAATTATCTGAATCAAAGTAATCAATACCGTACCGGTATGCGTAACAAGTTTTACTACTAGAACGGTACGTATCAGATATCGAAATTTTTCATGTACCGTTTCAAATTTATCGCTATAAATATATATTTTTATAAATTAAATATCAAATTTTAAAATAAGATAAGAGATACTAATATTTAAAATTATGATATTCTTATAAATTAAAAATAAGTTTAAAATGATCATTTTTAGTCTCTTAACTTTTAATATATGTATATTTTTCGTCCATCCACTTTAACTTAAGGGACTAAAAATGTGTATACTTAGACAAATTTAACAATATAATTGATAGAAAGACTAAAAAAAATGAAAAATGGACTAAAAAAGTACATTAAAAAGTTAAAAGATAAAAATTATATATAACATTAAAGTTGAGAACCAAAAAAGAAATTTACCCTTTTTAAATTTGAATTGAATTATATGGACTTCTTATTAAGAAGCCCTTACGTCGTTTTGGGTTAGGGGAATCCTTTTTTTTTTTAATTTGCAGTGTGTACCGGTCAAAATTCTAGTGAATCGGTTGGTTCACAAAAATTTCGACCGGTATATTGGATTTTGATTGAAATGATCAGATTTTAACCAAAATAAAAATTAATATTATATCGTTTTGGTTAATTTTAAAATCCAGTACGTACTGGCCGTACCGACTGGTACGGTACAGTTTTTACTTCTTTGATTTGAATTCAAATGGGTTGGGTTGTAAGTGAGTCGAAGGTAGGTTGGG